GGTCTTGGCCGGCTGTGAGTTGCATTTCAAACAAATTACACGCCCCGTGGTTGAATAAAAGGAAATTAAACATTTTCACTCCAGCGGCTTTTTGTTTTCAATTCGCCTTGATAAATGTTTGACCCCCCAAAAACGTTTATCAGTTGTGTTCTTGTTCGTATGCGAAGGACCCGCATATGTTTTCGTTTAATTGTTAACATCCATTTTAAATCTGATTAAGCTCCCCCAGAAGTGGTTGCCACATTGGTAACTCAGGTTAAAGTTTTCCGGATATGGATTGAAATGTGTCAAGTTCAAAGACTTTTTTGCTCTGCAGTTCGGTTATGAAATTTTGATGTTTTCAAATCACTTTAAGCCCTTGCACGCCTCAAGTGTCCACTCTTGTCCAGTATTTTTCCATTGTCCTGCCTGTAGCCCAATTCCATATTGCTCCCATATATGTATATATTGTTGTAGTGTATTACTTAATGTCATCAGTCATGGCAGATTTCTAGTCCATTAACTTTCAAGTTATTTGGCGACGCTTCTTTAATGGCCCGAAGCAGCGCATGCTTAGCAGCGTGTGTGTGAGGATGTGTGTGTGAGGGTGTGTATGATGGTGGTGGTAGTGGTGTATGCATGTGCCGCTAACAATTGCTTAACATAGCAGCATTTTGACTTTTTGCTGCGTCAATGGACAAAATTCCACAAATTGTGGGAAGGTAGGTATGGAAAATAGCTAATCAACTCCGCCACAAAAGCTGCCGAGCAGTTCAACGCCATTTGACCTTTTTATATAATTTTGTTCGAAATGGGTAACAAGGATGTCTTAAAATTGAGCATAAGTATGCAATAAGCAGATGGAGGCATATCCGACCCCAAATACCATAGATATTCTTAGATTATTTCTCGACAAAAGCACTCTCGCTTTTTCTTTTCATTTTTACTTTTGTTATTTGAATGAAATTTGTTACTTTTAATTTATTGCTATATTCAATAGATCCATTCAATGATTCCTTAAGTGATTTTATTGTTGGGCTCTTGTGTTCAAGTAGGTATTTTCAATCCAATAGTTTACAAATTACTATATAAAAATGTATGTGGTAAATACAATTATATTATTTGCTTAGTGAATTATTATAAAATAAACTCAGAAATTTTTAATAAAATTAATTTGGAAATGAGAGCGACGCTTTAGGTGAAAACTTGTAAAAATGGTCTATGGTCTCTCAGCGGATGTAAGCGTTAAAGACTATGTTTATTATTCTTCTCTTTATTAATTATTTTTATATAATAATGCAAATATCTAGTTCTAGGTGAAAATATTGTAGGATTGAATAATGACAATTTATTTATTTATTCGCAAAACCAAATCATCACCGTCACTTGTCAGTTTCCTGTCCGACTAATTGCATAAGGTTGCCGCCTTTCAGTTGATCAATTATACTCAATTAGTACGTAGTAATTAGTAATATGTGTTAAGCTGACCTACTTAAGAGCTTAAAGAGCTCTTGAAAATAATGTGACAATCAATCAGGTATTATTCTTCTTTACTGGCCTTGTCCATCTCAAAAAAAAAAAACAAAAACGATTCCGTGCAGCAATTGCCACAATCATATCAACAACACGTGCCTCTACAAGCGGCCCTCCTTAGCGTATGCATGACACCTGTTAAGCTTTGCTCCAGGAAAAAATGTCAACACAGCCCAGCCCTTGTTAAAATACTTTCACACTTTCTATCATCTTTCCTTGTGAATGCATGGAGGATTTCGCACACATATGCATATGCATATACTGATTTAATATGGATTTAGGTGTTTTTTAAGAACTGTATTTTCTAAATGTTGGCAATAGGTGAGAATTATTACTTTTCACCATCACTTAAGAAATACACAAATCCAAATTCCAACGATCTATCTATATAATTGTCGATTGAATTATGACCAAACAGATAAGTTACAAATTGGAAATAAACTTGCTTTTATAGTCTCTGATATTGGCATTGTGATACAGACGTTCTTCAGTTATATGTAACAGAAGGAATTATTACGAGATAGTAACAATTTATAAAGATACATGCACAGATGTGTGCTATACTTTAATTTATGAGTAAGACTACACAAAATGCTTTCGATAATAGCGATTAGAAGGAAGTAAAGGTAAAAGGTTTACATCCATTTAGCAGTGCCAGAAGAATCAATTAAGTATAATAAATTGATCCTGGTTTCTCTTATGCTGCAAATACATCTGTGCGTACTTCGTTACGCATATCGGAATTGACAGTGAAAATAAAACCCAAAAGTATGCCCATATATATATATTATTCAAATACACACTTACACAGATGCCGCTGCATCTCAGACACACACACACAAAGACACACACGCACACAAAGACACACACACACAAAGACACACACACACATAAGCTCACACAATGAAGGCAATTGAGCAGAATCATTGCCGCTGGCAGTTTTATTTATATTGATTTAAGAGAAGGGCGGGCACTCAACAGGCGACAACAACAAGTACAGGCGACGTCAACGTTGACGCCAACGTTGACGCCAACGTCGGCGTCGCCGTCATCGCACACAACAAGTGGCAGCGAATGCGACGCAGGCAACACCCGATTTGAGTTTCTACTGCCCATTCGCATCGCATTCCACATCCTGACGCAGTCAAAGGCGCTCTGTGCGCGCCTCGTGCGCCGTTCGCAGCTGTGTTTCAGTGCGAGATGAAATCTCGTGGCTGATGGACGTGTGTTCGTTTCCACGTTTCCAGTGCAGCAGCAACTGTCAGACACTTGTAGCACTTTAGTATTGACAACACAGTGGCTCAGTAACACTACGCACGCAACATTTTCTATTCTTTTCGCATAGAAAATGTAGCTTTAAATCAGTTTATAAAAAATAGATATATATACATATATATATGTATAAATAATAATATTAATAACAAATGCATGCCTAAAATTGTGCTTACAAAAAAACCAAAACCAACCAAAAACACAACACAATCTGAAAATATGTGATTTGTCAGAGAAACGGGCGTAAGTTATAAATCACTTAAAGTTATTCAATATACAACCAACCAATATTTGCTGGTGTCCAGAATAACAATTTTGTTGTCAGTGCTAAGAATAAATCCGTAGGGTTTTTCAAATCAAATGCTGGCGATGCTTATTTACATACATATATTGGGCAGCAAATTGACTTCAGCTGTTTGAATGTGAAAAACCTTCGAGTATTTTACAAAATAAATTTGCACAACAACAAACCAAAAGATTAACATTTCAAATGTGTATTCATAAATGTGTAGGGTACAATCAATGTGTGCACTGTCTATGAACAAGCAATTTGGTTCAACAGCGCAACAAATTTCTGAGTTTGCAAACTTGTGGGTGGAGTTCACAACGTTTTTATTTGCATAGCCTTGGTTGCGCATCTATATATATATATATGCATATATATGAGGCAATTTGCGTAAGGTCTTTGGGGCATCGCTTTCACACAAATATATATTTTTAAATTTCTATTTATTTGCATTAAAAAATAGAGTACAAAACTGATTTTTTGATTTAGCTTGGGAATTATGACAACAAAACGCCCCATAGCAATAGATTATGAGTTTCATAAGTAGAGGAGGGATTTCCCCATGCAAACATGACGTATACATCCTAAGGGTGCGACCAAAGACAAAAGAAAATCTACTTAATGCTGTAGTTGAAACCAAAAACCTTTCTCATTACAACATATTTCTGTAAAATCTAATAATTAATTTATTGATTCACCTACAGGAATATTCCAACGCAACTTCACCCCTAAAGCAGCAATAACCCACTAATTGATATACCACCAACAGCAGACAACAGTGTCTAAATTTAACCGCACACACAACTATAACCACAGCGCAATACACAATTTAATACATCATTCAACAGGTAACTTTATTTTCACCGTTAAAAAATCAAAAAATTATACAAACAGTAGCTTGCAAAATATTGCAGATAAAATAAAAAATAGCCAAAGAGGAAGCTGTTCAGTTAAAATTTCAATTAGCAAGCTAAACATTGACTTACAGAAAATATTAGCTGCATTCGAAGTATATATTTATATATACATTTTAGTCTTCTTATTATTAACTTTTCAATTTATGCCTTTACAACCCTCGTCTATATATTAATATACACGTTTCAATGCTGTACACAAGATAATGCTGGGTATTAATTAATGTTTAGTACATAAATCTAAACAATTTTACAATTAAATAAAGTTGCGTGCTAAATGTTATGCAATTAACACAAGCCAGAAGCAACAATAAAAATAACAAAAATCATAAAAAAAAAACTGAGATCATAAATGAATACACATTTAGTTAGCATGCATATGCAGGCGATATCAGTTCTATGACTGGTCCATTCTATGTGTGTAGTGAAAATAGTCAATTAACACTTTAATCAGGCATTTAAACAAGTAGCAAATCATTAAAAAACTTAATTAATTAAAATGAGAAAACATTTTTGTAATCTTGTTATCCAGAAGAATAGAGTATAACATATTCGACTTACATCAGCTGAGTCATTTTCGTTTGCTTTATTATAATTGACTCAATGCTCAGGAAAGGGCACATGCGACGTATGCGCATTGTGGGCATCGCATAAATTATATATTTGCGATTGATAGAGCAAAGATAAAATGAGGCCTGACTGCTCTTTCTTTATATCACTTTCTGGAAATAGGTCTTGAAACTAGAATATCTTAGCATATCTTTTTTTTTATTGCCCTACAAGTCTTACTTCTCTTCTCACGCTCAAAATATAATTGCATGTACATTGCTAATAAATATTTTCAAATATGTACAAATCCGTTCATTTGAAATTTGAGCACATTAAAGCCACGGGATATCAACGATGAGCACGTGCGAAAATTTAAAACAAAAAGAAAAACTAAGTTACGGCAACAAGTTGCTGTGTGGAATTTTAAAAAATCATTAAAAAAGCGCAAAGCGACACGCTAATAATTTTAGTTTGAGCTTAGAGCGCCGACCAGGCGGCAGAATCAGTAGAGATCAGATCGCTCACATCGACAAAGCGAGGACTGCACCAGAGCAATTGTAAAAGTGAAAGTTATTATAACAATTCCTATTTAGCAATAACAGTGAATGCCGACAACAAAAATAAAATATTCACTTCGTATCGCGAAGCAAAATAAAATGATCATAAGCTACATTAAGATTGCTTGTGATTGTAGTTGAGTAAAGCTCATACGCCAAAAGCATAGAGCCCCGAATTGCATTTTTATCATTCAGAAATACACGCGAAGGCATTACAATTTTTATGTAATTTTCCAAGAATTATATAACATTTTGCAAAAAAAAAATAAAAATAATAAAATAAAATAATTGTAATATTAATATAGTTCGCGAAAAACGCCGGCAATTTTAAACTTGTAAATATAATTAGCACATTCCTAAGAAAATACAAATAGTCGAAACGGAAGGCAATACATATGTCCTAGCATAAGAGTTGCTGTAAAAGCGCTCGACATCGAGTTAATTGTGTTGTATATTCGTTGCTCAGAGGCAGTGCTAATTGTACTACTAATTTAATCATTTTAATTGCACATTTGTTGACAAAACAGCTATCACGTACATTTTCATAACCGAAAGTAACACAAACATATTTCAAAATGAAACGTTTCAAATTCAATAATGAGCGTGATAGCTAAAAGCTACCTTAGACTTTCTTTCATTCACTAAAAGATTATAATAGGAATAGTAATAATTAAAAATAATTGCACAGAAACAATTGATTATATTATAATTTTGATAGTAGTACTATGAGTAAAATACATTATAACTGGCAACAAGTGCTTGTGAATAACAAAACAGGGCTAACAGCATGAGTAGAACTTAACTTTGAATGCCATATTTCTCAGCTTCAATCAGAGCAATCATCAGTGCATTTTGGTAGCTGGCAAATTCATCTTCCATCTTGCTCTCAATTAAGTCAGCGTTTTGATTTAATTGACTGCAAGTTAATTCAATTTTTGAAAGTCGCACCCAGCACTTAACTCTGGAAAGTCGAATTTGGGCAAACACACTTCACTAAAGCAAACTCCTCGAGGCACTGACAAAGACACTTGACTTGGGCGAGCGAGTGTGTGTCTGGGCGTGGCTGTTGACACTGTGTGATGCCTTCTAAACGAATTAGATGCGAAATTCAATTTCAATTTGTGCCGCGCGTCTCACATCCCAAATTTGGTGAACATTTGAAAGACCAATTTCAAATGGCGCACTGCTCGAGAAAAGCCAATTAAATAAATATTTAAATTTGGTCACATTGTCTTATAAGTACATACCCATTATTATATTTCAGATATTGTGTGAAACTGCCAGCATTATGCAAATCATTTTTTAATTTGCGCCTCCGAATGCTACGCAATAATTGTATTAAATTTGAATTAAGAACCAACACATATAATTTAATTTTAATTAGCGAAAATCATTGAGGCATAACGCATACACTTGGGGAATCTAATGCTGTTGCTCACCCCAAGCAGCTTACAGATTGATTGCATTTTAAAGACAATCCGCTTAGTGTGAATCTGATTAGACGTTACACTCCCATAGACTTACCATAGCAACAAGCGGCTAGCGACGCAATGCAATCATCGACTGATGCGGGCAATGATGGCACACGTAAATTCACAGGACACCAGGAGCAGCAGCAGCAGCAGCAGCAACAGCGTCAGCAGCATCCACAAGCAGCAACGGGGGGATCTAATCAGACCACTTCCTTTACTGTAAACGGCAAAAATCCGCAACAAACGAGCCCAGGCGACACACCTAGCAAAAATCCGTTCAAGCAACAGCTGGACAGCCATAGTCAGCAGAATGGCGCCTTGGAGACAGAATGCGGCATTCTGGGCGCCGGCATTGCAGCCGGCAAGGACCAACAGGAGCCAACACCATATGAGCCGCGTAAAATGATAGCTGGTGGCCAACCGCCGCCGGATCAATATCGACAAGAGGATCCACGTGCTGGCGGCTCTTGGGCGGCGGCCAAATCATGGATGGTCAGCTGGCGTGGCTCCAATCGACTTGTGCTGGTCATCGTTGCTATTGCTCTGCTGCTGGACAACATGCTGCTAACAACTGTTGGTAAGTGAATCCATATACATATACTAAATCGTATAAGCCGCATACATTAATAGCCCATTAGCATTTCATGGCCATGCATCATCATGACAACGAACCAGCCACTTGACAATGAATGCAATGCAATCACCTGGAAATTACTCATTTCAATTTCACGATAGATTTTTAGCACTCTCCTGTTGCCATAAAATTACCACAAAGCTCCACTTAAGTTAATGAATGTTCTTGCTTACCGTCAGTCACTCAGTCAGCCAGTCAGTCAGCCAGTCCGTCAGTCATTCAGTCAGTCAGTTACCCATCTTACTTTCCTTTCCGTTCATCAATTCAACTGTCATTGAATAATGTTGGTTGAGTGGTGCCCAGGGACTTTGATTAGCCCTGGGATTTGGTGCTATATTTCTTGTCTCCTAGAATAAGGATTTGTGTATATTCTAGATTTTGTATCTATCATTTACAGTCATATTTATGAATGAATGCACTCATTTGTATTCCGAATTTTACTAGAGAAATGCACAAGCGCAAAATATCTAGCGATAAACACATTCTTGTTCATGGTCCGTACTAGAAAGCAGCACAGCCAACCCTCAAATGACAAGCCAGCAACCAACAACAACTAATCAATTCTCGAGCACTGTTATTCGCCAGCAGAGTGCGTAGCCATCATTATTAAAAGCCGACACAGACAGAAAGGGATTGGGATTCGGATTGGGACTGGGACTGGGACTGGGACTGAAACTGGGATTGGGTCGGTGGCCACTCAAAGTGCGGACAGTCAATTAAATAGACACGCGACCGACCATTGCGATTGCTGTGTGTGACACTAAACCTACGGCCAGCCAGAGGGGGGGGGGCGTGGGTGGCCAACGGACGAGCCAAGTGCTTATGTCAAGTGTCTGGCCAAACACGTGGACATCAAGTGGCCGTTGGCCGAACCGCAGCTCTGGTCAATGTTTGACTGCGGCTGACAACAGCAAAAACGATTGAAGTTCCTCTTCATTTCTCTTTGTGTTAAACGTTCATGAATTTATATCAACAAGTTCTTGGGGAGTTGGAGCTGGGAGTCTGGTTGGACTGAGTCGAAGACAAATAGCTGTGCGAATGCGGCACTTGAGCAACTTGTTGATAAATGCGGAAGTAGAAGCCAAGGCAAAAGTAAAAAAAAAAGAAGGAGAAAGATACTCGAAGAGCGCAAAAACGAAAAAGTATTAGTTCAACACACAAAAAGAAAAAAAATAAAGTAAAAAAAAGAAAAGAAAAAAAAAACAACTCCCCCAACCGCAGTGCAGTTAAAGATTCAGCTCCCGTTTCAAGCTTTTCTAGTTTCCGTCTGGCTGTCGCCAGCTAGAGCAAATCACAGTTAGCACAGTAAATGCCGAATGGCAAGGCGTGTTTGATTGTGTGGGGTTGGATTATGGGGAGGGGGGGAAGGTTACGGCAAATATGCTTTTAGCGTTTGACTTGAGGCATTTCCACTTAAGTGCTTTCACTCCACCGTTAAAGGTGTTGGAGTGAATATTGTGAGAGAATCACACACACGTACACACATACTTATTGCATTTGATCTTCGGCAATGAGCATAAAATGCTCATAAATTTGATTAAGCTGCGAGAAAAAAAGGGGCTCCCCATAAGAAATGACTGCTTAGTAGCAAGCTGATGCTACTTTCTTGATTTATGTGGGTCAAACGAAGTCTTATCTGTAAGTGCCTGCTGCATAAGCAAACAGTCAACTGTAAAGCATATATTTTTCGGCTGATTTAATGAACAACAAGTGGCAATGTTGTAGAGGATGTTGCCCAACTAAGAGTCTATCCAGCTGCCAGTCAGTCATACATACCCATTATACAGTCTAATAATATTTACATACTATAAGCGGTCAATAAAATGCAAGTTTAATTAGTAAGATAAGAAGATGAAATATAAAGATTTTATTTTATAAACAGCCGTAAATATATTTTGAGAGATGAGCAGCTTAACGCGTTAGCTTAAGTTGAATAATATGCGTTAATTTTAGGAAGCTTTTATCGATTTAATACACAATATACCCACATATTTACTGAGGTGTCGTCTTGATTGGTTTTGCGTGCTTTTTGGCCACATCTCAAACACCATTTGGATTACACTGTTTGGTTGGTGTGGTAGCCAAGGAGCGTGATACTCCTTCGCTGCTCCCCTGCGCTGGCTTGAGCAGTTGACGGAATCCATCGGATGCGTCCTTTGTGAGCGAAGCACTGCGTGTAAAGGGAAAGTACGCATTAAGTTGTCTTTCCATTGCATCCTTATTGATGGTCGTCTCCCATATTTGTTTCTGGATAATGCTGCTGTAGCGGGCCTCGAAGCTGCGCTGGTGGGACAACGGATGCGATGCATTGCGTACTCCCGTTTTTCCCTCAAGTTCCCGCACCACTGCCCGTTCGGATTTGGGTGTGGATGTGGTTGGCTTTAGGGAACTGCCCTCAGAGTCCTCATCAGTTGACATTTGCTGCTGGTACTAATTACAGGAAAATTAAACTACACAATCTTTTGCTTGTCAGCCGGAAAAGGACTTGGTATCGTTGCCGTACTCTAAGCGTTTACAACCTGCCGCGTGCGCGTCAGAAACGCGAATAAGTCACGGCAGGCATTTTGCTGTCTTGTTAAGCTCCTTTATTTTCTAGTATAATACTCGTATTGTTGCGCATTTCTTTTACCAAACTCGCAACAACTCAAATGTCAAGCAAAAGTTTGCTTTTTTCTTGTAGCAGCGTTGTAATTGCGAGCGTGCCTTTTGTCTTTTAGAGTTTCGCCTTTAGCAAAAAGTTTTCCGTGGCCTTTGGCGTTCCCGCAGTATGACGTTATTAGCGTTCTCCCTCTCTCTCTCTCCCTCTCTCCACGTCAAAGCCTATGGAGACAGTATATCGCCTGACAAAGGTCACAAAGTTTAGTTTTTTGGAATACCCTTGGATGCTGCTGCGGATGACTCATTAGACGATGTCACAACCCCTGACAGCTAGTATGAAGCTTTCGTCTACCATTCACGGTTGAATCACCAAATTATCCATTCAAGCTAACTAATTATTTGTTTTGCTAAGACTTTGACTTAGCATTAAGTACGAAATATTCTGGCTACTTTCACTACCCATCGACCACAAAAAGTAAAGTTAAGCATGAATGAAAACAAAACAAAGGCTTTGCCCCAGGTGCCCCAGAGCGTAAACTTGTCGGCAAAATCTAAAAATAAATTTTGCCAAAGCAGAAAAGTCTCAATGACAGCACACAATGAATAAATCAATAAAAACCTGTCGAACAAACACAGAACTCATTTCACAGATTTTGCGTTGCCAAAAAGGAATTGTCTGCGTACCAAACAATTGTTTTGCAATTTGCGGTATATTAACTAAATAGGTTTAAAACTTGGCAAATCTAGCTCACGATCTGGTAAACGTTTTATTTTTTTAGTTTCTAACTTTAAAATCGTCAAAAAATATGATAATCGTTTATCATAGTACATACATCTCTTGGAAGATCTGCTTCATTCTTTATTAGTTCATGAAATTTATTTTCGAAAAATGTATCCTAAGTGACAATTTTGGAATTTGCAGTCCAATGTTAATCAGTTTCTGCCAAAATGTCAGGGGTGAAGTCACATTTGTACCTACTGTGTTTGGTCCGATCATTTGGTTAAACTAGATAGTTTCTCTTATTCTACCCAAATGATAAAATGCATTTATATCCTGTTGATTTTGGCCTACACTGCCTGTTGCGAAAAGGCGAATGTATCACAAGTTGACTGAATATGTGTATTTACTTTATGGGGTCGAAGATGTCTCTGCAAAGCATTAAGACTCTTAGTATATTAAGGAATATAAAGGAATATTTTATTAAAGATACAAAAACCATAAAGTTCTGTTAGTTTCAGTGTTTAAAAATACAAATCACTGAAACTGGCGCTAAGCGCATCCTCACTGCTTGTTGCTGCCACAAGCAAACCCTTCTTTGGCAAACTTGGCATGAAGATGTGCAACTGCTTGCGGCACTCCTGTTGCTTGGCGGTCAAGCCACGACTGCTTTGCGGCGGGGTGCGTGTTCGCTCCAAAGTGGGTGCAACAGCAGTAGCAGAAGGAGCAGCAGCAGCAGCACCAGCAGTGCCATTGTACAACCTGGCAGATGCCAATTGTCCGGCCAGACGGCGTGTTGTGCTGGCGCTGGTGCTCAGCGAACAGAGATCAATATTGCGCGCTGGCCGATTGAGGCGCACCGGCACGCCCTCCTTGTTAAAGATGATTGTAATGGGCTTGGCATTGGATGGATTCGAGCAGTAATTCACAACCGCCTGCTTTGTCACAGTTTTCCTGGGTGTTTCCCGCTGTGAAACTGTGCCCGTGGCACAGCGCTTAAGGCCCATGCCACGATGGCCCTGTCGACTGACTCGCTGACTTGCGCTGCTGCTAGTCACAGGTGTCGCTGGCGTCGCAACCTTCACGATATCCGCACGACCTGCCAAGTCCAGCCAATTAATCACACGCTCCGCCAGACGCTCCTCCGGATTGGTGGTGAGAGTGCTGCCGGCGTGTGCATCCTGCAGCGAACTACGCCGCGAATGCAAATGCGAGTGCTGATCTGTTAGGTGATGATGGTCCAGTTGATAGCTCTTGCCACTGCTCACCAGCCAGGCACGTCGCTTGGCATGGCGTCTGCTGTGCAGCGTACTAAACGTGGCCTGCACTTTGTTGGCCATGGCAGCCTGGGCCTGGCTAACTTGCTGCTGGCGCTGCAGTGTTAATTTGGTCGCGTCTAACAGCAGATACTCGTCGAGGGTGTAATCAACGCTATCCTCAATTGCCATTGACTTGTCGACGAACTGGCAGGATTCGCTTTGATAGCTGGCGCCTGCGTCCAAATTGAATTAGTTTGGCCTTTAACTTCATCAACGATTTGCGTTGCACTTACCAACGCGTTTGGCGCTTTGGCGTTGAGAGTGTATCCAACGCTGTCGGTCGCGCGGCTCATAATCGAGTATAAAGTGACGTCGATGACTGCGCCCCGTCTCTCCGATCCTCTCCAGCCAAACGGAGCGCACGAACAACGGTCGACTGGCCGATTCCCAAATGGATCGAGCTGGCTGTCTCATTGCCACCTTCTGTTCACGTCTCGCATTAATTAATCTGCCTACCCCGTACCAAATACCGATTAACCAAACAAACAAAATCCAAGGAGATTTCATTTGTCACGGCGTCGCTGTCGTTCTCATCGTTGCTGTCCTCGATGTCGTGTGCTTACACTGCCGGTTGCTGTCTCACTGCTGGTGCTGTTTTGCCTGACGACGACAACAACGCCGCCGCCGCGAAAATGTATAGTTTCTGTCACTAGGGATGGCCTAAAGTCACGAACTTAGAATCAGTTTCTGCCTAACAGTGATAATTCCAATACTGCTTTGGGATGCAATGCGACCTTTCTTACTTCAACTAGTGCCAATGAATACAGATCGTCATATTTATGTTTGGTTATTAGTTAATGTTAACTCCTTGCTTGCTTATGATGTTTAACTATATTGCTAATCGGATACAGATAAGCGTTTTTTGCTTTGGCTGTGTTTTATGATGATGGCCAGCACAGAAGGCCATTGATTTTAACTAATTGTGTTATTAAAATAAATTCCTATTCAAGTGACTGAAATGTTACTTCTTTTGCTCTTAAAAGTGAATGATATGTTTTATATTCTTACAAGTAGTTACCAAGTCATAGTCACTGTTTCGATCAGTCCCTGGTCGTTGCTGTTTGTTTGTCTGGTCGTCACCACACACCGCTGGTTTTTACTTTGCCTTGCGGTTTAAGTGTCTTCGACACGCGAAATGCAACCCAAACAACCAGAGACAAATACCCCACACGTTCAGCATTATTAACCGTTTGTCAGTTGCACGTGCTTTTCGATTTTTGTATGTCAAATGCTCCGGGACAGTTTAATGAGTTACACGGTAACAAAACTTTTTCGAATAAAATTACCTGGTTAATCGTTTATGGTGCCGTTGAAATTTAAGTGGTAGGCCACATTAAAACAACTGCTTTTGAATACATTACAGCAATCAATCTTTTCTAGTTGAGGTCACAGCACAGCATGATTTTAATATTTTTATTTACGTATTTTATTTTTTTATATTTTGGATTGGCCAAAAATGGCATGTCATGTTACATATCTGTCATCATATGGTATGTCGTCAGTTGTGCTTTGAAGCGAGGTTGCCTTTGAATCACAGTCGGGATGGTCGGTGGTCGTGGGTGACAATTTCACATTCGCTGACTTATCTAGCTCAAATGACTCTAGACACGTGCTGGCACGATGAAACTTACATGAATCGAGCTTGCCTTAATTAAATGCTATGCTTTTACATGCCACATTAGTTATGCTAATGATGAACTGCGCATATGAATATATTACAAACATTCATAATACTTATCTTGCTTCAATTTAAATAAACACCAGTCTATATTAAGATAGCATAACTTAGAAATAATTCAGGACAAGGATTAAATACTCATTTTGATTGGGATTGGGGTCTACTTTTCGTAAACACGAAATATTTAGGATATAATACAAGATATGTCTTTCCCATTCTATAAGCAACCATTATTTTTATAGCGTTAATAATGCCGGGTAAGTCTCTAAGATATTGCTTCGAAATTGTAAATATCTTTCAAAAAAGAAGAACAACTGTTTATAATAATGTTTGTGTTTCTAAATATGCCCTCATAATAAGTATATGCTTCAGTTAGTGGAAAATTTGATCGAATTATGAATTTGATTGCTTGAATCGCCCACCTATCCACAACCAAACCACAACGCTGTCTAGTTGCTATCCACACATTATGGCAGCAGCACTTCAAACTGAGGCAGGTAAAACAATAACGAGCCGTGGCATCAGCTATCGCCACTCAGCAAGTTGTGAATCTCATTGAAACATGCATTCAAAACTGAATTCATGTGGTGGCAAGCAACGGCCTCGTATTATGCTACGAAATACAATTACAGCAACGAAACGAGCATTGCGCTTGGGGCCGGGTCTGAGTCTCGATCTGACGACCTGGTGTTGATAATAAATATAAACAGAGTCAAAACATGCAATAAACAAATTGAATTTTTGCGAAGAGGCAAGGGCGCCAGGTGAGGTGTCCACTATCTGAGGGTGAGGTGAGATGTGGAAGTGCTTTCAAGCAAAACGGGTGAACAACAGTGCGGCAATTATACAGAAGAAGTTCGCTTAAGCGCTTGCAACACATGCCTCAACTCAACTTAACTCAACTGCAGTGCTGCGAATTCGACGTATGCGCAATTTTGTGCAGCCTTTGTTGTTGTCGTGACCGAACAACTCAATTAGAGCAAGCAATCTGCTTCTTGCAATAGAGCCTAAAAGCCATTATAAACTTTTAGCAACAACAATTTGGCTGGGGCCTCTAATGCAATTAAAGAGTGGCTGGAGAAAATTGCTTTCGTAGCGTCATCTAACGGTTGGCCGTTAGGGCTAATTGTACGTAAATTCTTTGTTGCAACTCAATTACAAAACCATTACTCGACTCTTACTATTTCATAGTGCCCATCATACCCGAGTTCTTGTACGACATACGACATCCGGACGCACCACTCGGCAGTTTCCCCCGCGCACCAATCCCCCTGACTACACCGACACCACCATCGTCCTGCCCTTGTAAAGATGGTGAAAATGAGGCAGGGCCGCCGATCGAGGTGTCCGCACCGTCTGCAGAAGGTAAGTAACGTTCCGTAACGGTTAACAGAGTAAATCAGCAGGTGTTAAAGTTGCACAATCTTCCATAGACAATGAGACATATTATCGCGAGATGGAGGAACGGCACAATGAGTTGGTCGGCGAAACGGTTGAAGTAGGTCTGCTCTTTGCCTCGAAGGCCATTGTACAATTGCTGGTTAACCCGATAGTTGGACCCCTTACGCATCGGTGAGTGATTGGTTACATGTAATTTGAATCATATAATAATATGTTCCTTTCACCTTTCGTTATATTCTCAGAATTGGCTACAGCATTCCAATGTTTGCCGGCTTTGTAATTATGTTTCTGTCAACGCTGAGTAAGTTTTGAATAATCAAGTAAAATGCGAAATGCATTAATCAAAAGTAAGGGATTTTTAACAGAGAACAAGTAATGTTTCCTACCAACCAACCAACATCCAACATCGAATTCATAAATATGGTTTCAAACTAATTTAAATTATTATATAACTTTCCATCGTTTGAATTTGTATTTATATTTTAGGTGTGCACTTAAAACAAAAAACCACTTAAAAAGTGCCCTAAATAGTACTCATAGTTTATCTCTTATATAGTTTTCGCCTTTGGACGCTCTTACTTGGTACTGTTCATCGCTCGAGCTCTTCAGGGCATTGGCTCGTCGTGTTCGTCCGTCTCTGGCATGGGCATGTTGGCCGATCGCTTCACCGACGACAAGGAACGTGGCAATGCAATGGGTATCGCTCTGGGTGGACTTGCTCTCGGTGTGCTCATAGGACCGCCTTTTGGTGGCGTTATGTATGAGTTTGTTGGCAAATCGGCGCCATTTCTGGTGCTCGCTGCTCTGGCGCTCGGCGATGGTTTGCTGCAGATGTTCATGTTGCAGCCGTCCATACAGAAAGCGGAAACAGAGGAACCACCATCTCTGAAGAGTCTGATCAGTGATCCCTACATTTTGATAGCGGCTGGTGCAATTACCTTTGCCAATATGGGCATTGCGATGCTGGAGCCATCTCTGCCCCTGTGGATGGTGGATAATATGGGTGCAACACGTTGGGAGCAGGGTGTGGCTTTCTTGCCGGCTTCCATTAGCTATTTGATAGGCACAAATCTGTTTGGACCACTGGGACACAAGATTGGACGATGGTTTGCTGCCTGCCTAGGACTAGTTATCATTGGCGCCTGTTTGATCTTTGTGGGTGCTTCTAGCAATTGTCCAGTAATTATTAATTAACGCAAAATCTTCCACTTCAGATACCCATGGCGACCTCAATCACGCATCTGATTATTCCCAATGCTGGTCTTGGCTTTGCCATTGGCATGGTTGACTCTTCGATGATGCCGGAACTGGGTTATCTGGTCGATATACGGCACTCGGCCGTGTATGGCAGTGTCTATGCCCTCGGAGATGTGGCTTTCTGTGTTGGTTTTGCTGTTGGACCAGCGCTGTCGGGTTCCCTTGTGAAAAGTATTGGGTTCGAATGGATGTTGTTCGGCATCGCCATACTCTGTTTCTTGTATGCGCCGCTGCTGACGCTACTCAAGAACCCACCGACCAGCGATGAGAAAAAGGTGCGTATGGCTAGGGAAGCTGCTGCTGCCGCTGCTGCTGAGGCTGCAGAAGCTGCCAACGCTAATTCGATTGGTCAGCTAACGGAATCATGCCCATCTGTGTTGCACGATACTCCAATGAATACCTGCAAGACGAATGAAGCTTTCGAATGTGAACGATTATAATCTAAGATTAACGCATGCTTAATTTTTACGTTTATAATTTCTTATTATTTGTATTGTATTTCTGGATAGTAGTTTGTTATTTTCTTATACGAGATTTAATACCTGTGTAAAAAGATTTTAATTTTTATTAGTATTATTTTATTATTTATAATTTTTGTATTTTTTCTTAGCATATTTGTATATTTCTTACACTAATTTATATGATTTAATAAGTAAGCTGAGATTTGCTTATGTTAACGTCGCTGGATTTTATGTTAATAAATAAAAATTTATTATAATTTTTACTTTAATTTCGTAAGCCATTTGCTTGTTTAAAAAATATCAAATGCTCTAACCACAAACATACCTCTTCACTCTTACAGTCTCTTATATATGGACGCGACCGATCCCAGGTACGTTATGTAACCTATCAAAACTACGATGACGACGAATAAATTTTCCAAAACTAAACAAATTTCTTGGCAATGTCAGTACAAAATGACCAAAAAATACAAAAAAATATATATATATTAAAATAGTAAAAAAAATACGAAGGAAAAATGCTAAAAAAGAAAAGAAAATACAACCAAAAATATCAGTAATATCATATGAAATTGAGAAAATTGTTATAATTGTTAAAAGTTGGACATTATTACGTGAAATATCCAATGCTATACCTACTAAAAGATATATCAATGAGTAACCTCTAAAATGGACCAAAAACTTGTCATGTGTTGATCTTCATCTAACCCGAGAGACAGGCAAATTCAGAACTCTTAAAAAAAACATACAAATTCCATCAGGTAAAATTTATAATCAGAATATGCATACAATGTTCATTTGTTAAAATTAAATTGTAGATTGAAATTGTAGCTAGAAACAAGATTGGTTGAAATGCTTTGATTTTGTAAAGTGAGATACGCCATATTTTCGAAGTCATTAGAAGCTTTTGGATTTATTAAGTAGTCAACTTTGACTATTAAAAACATCAGTGCAACAAACTAATGTTCAAGTATAAAACGATATGAGTGAAATATTAAATGAAAATTGAAATCAAAGTGTCAAATCAAATCCAAATAATTACAATATCCAATATATCCTGTTAAAAGTTGACAGAAGACTTTGACTTTGCATATTGCTGTTTACAAGTCTCAAAATGTATGCGTACATTTTACTCCCAGAATGGAAGGTATTTGCATGTACAATTTATTAGTGTTAGAGTTTGTCATTGCATTGATTTACTGTGAATCCCAAAAACTGACCACACCTAAGTCAAAATCTAAAATGAATTTGTATTTTAAGTATACATATGAATATATATTATATTTAAAAAAAAAAAAAAAGCAATAACTCAAAAGATTTAGTATTGTCTTAAGACAACAGACCGAGCTTACCGTGTAAAGTTTTGGGGCTGGTACAGCGTCATTATAACTGATAAATAGACCTCGGAACAATTTGCCAGTTATACTGCCGTTGTATCAACCCCACACGTTCACTTGGTAAATTTATAAACGCATCGTTCGCAAATTATCCGCATAGACATTGATGCTGACATTGTAGGGCCTTGTTGTGGACTCTTCCAGTCGGCAACTGCCACTCTCCTGACCAGGTTCTGCTGTTGTCGCAGTATTGCGGACTCGCACCTTATTCAACGAGAATTGCCTATCTTCATATGCCGGCTGCGATGTTGTTATGCGTATGGGCATATTGTTCAGTCGCGTATGTATCGGCTGATTGGAGTCAACGGACATACCATTTACATTCAGATTGAGCAACTTACGTTCGCTCAGATGCGGATTGGACAGACGTTGCAGACTGGCATTTCTCACACTCCCACAAACATTGGCATTGTTATGCGAACTGGCCGAACTGCGTCGCTCGAGTGTTATGCATGGTGATGCTGGTGCTGGTGCTGATGGCAACTGCACCTCCTGGCGATTAGTTAGTTGGGTGATTCGCCCAGCACGCGCCGCCTGTGGACTTGAACTGGCTCTGGGTTGCCGGACATAAAAGGGCACCATGCCTGGCAGACGCTCCTTTGAGGCTAGTCTCTTCAAATTCGACGTCATGACGGTTGCAGGTGTACCAACTGAAGTTGTCAGGGGCATGGCACGCATTGGCATTGGTAATGGTCTTTGTGCTTCGCACTCTAGATCCCGCTGCCGCTGTTTTTCCCGCTTGGCCTGCAATTGATCTGGATCGCGCAGTCTTTCTAACTGTCTGAAAAGCTCGCGTTCTTGTTCACGCAGCCGCATAAGCTGCTGTTCCTTCTCCAGCTCCTGCTGACGCACCTGGTTGGTTGTTCCCTGCTGCCGTACGGCCATCAAGAGATCTTGTTCGTGGGCAACGGGAAGATTAAACTTGGACAGCCTCTTGTCAATGAAAAAAATGTCAGAGCTGGTATTGCGAGCCAGCTCTTTAAAATTATTCGTATTGTTGTCCTTCTTAATTTGTATGTTCAAACGGTTGTCCTGCTGTGCCTCAGCTTCCCGCCCACTTATATTAATGTTGATCGCACAGCCGCTGGAACAGTTGGCACTGCGCATTGGCGACCTCTCAAACGTGGACGTTGAGAAATTTCTAACAGACTTTAAACTGCTGGCGGAGGCACATGCCTGAGTACTTTTCGTGCTACTTGCACTCTGCATTAAGGAGGTAACGCTCTGGTCCCGCCTCATCGCCCGATATTCGTCACGATCACAACAGGTACGCAAAAGTGGAAGTTTCGAAACTGCAGCAGGCAAACTGCTGCCAAGTTGGCTACGACGCTGTGGTGCTTCCCTGCCACTGATACTATTCACTTTGCTGGCTGGCATGGTAGGCATGTATTTGAAGTCATGCAGAAATTGGCGACGCCTGTGCTCAGCAAAAGCAGTGGATGCTGGAGTTACTGTTGCATTATGACTCATCCTTGTTATAAATTTCGGATTCTTATAATAGGTCTCACAGCTGGGTGGCTTCGGTTGGGTCGGCTGTGGTCGCTGATAGGCCTGCATTGGAAATGCGGGTCGATCGGCATAGCGAAAGTTGTACGATTGAATTTTGAATGGATCGTTGTGGAAGACATCGTTCGTCTGGCGACGTGTGTAAATGCTGGTGAGACCATCTGTCAATACGAAGACCATGAAAATCGTTGCATTGAAAAGATTCCGAATGTTAGATACACTTACACAGACCACGACTCATTTTATGCAAACAAATTTAGTTATTTTCAAAGACTTTGGCCAAAGTGGTACAAAATAATGCGCAACAATCAACATTTAGATGATTTTCAAAAAAGTTGAACTAGTCAAAATAATAAAATTTTCTCAAAGTCGACTTTGTTCAATCGTAGAGCCCACAAAGTCAGTTTTTGGGACGCACATTAAAGCTCTACCAGCAATGCGACGAAACATTTGTGCAGCAATATGGGTTAAACGGTAACCAACCTTCTTTAAACAAATCAATTTAAAATATGCTAATATCATATTTGTTGAAAGTAAATAATTGTTTATTGAATTAGCGGAAAATTTAATTATCTTTAAATATATTAATACTATATTAATACATATATACATACATACACATTTAAATTTATAATCGTAAATAACATAAAAGATATCTGACACAATAAGGGAAATACTTTACATAAATCTAACTGTATCAACTAAACCATTAAGCAATACTTTGGTAATATTGATGCGCGTACAAGCTGTGAAATTAATTCGTGTAATTTAATAATTATAGATCATTTGGATCAATTGGATATTTCCGCGAGACACTTGAATGGCTGCAAGTTTCTCTACGCGTTGTAGGCAACATTAAGAGGCTACTTAAAATCCACATTTTTTTTCTTTTAATTAAACACAGTGCCATACAATGGGCAGAATGTAAACATTTTTGCGCGCATTTAAAAATACAAAGAAATTTGATGGAAATCAATGTGTAAATAGGTCACGAGCGAAATGAAAGAGTTAAAAAGCAAATAATACTAGTTAATCGCAGGTATACAATGAGGTTATATTAAAAAAAAAAAAAAAAAACTGTACATATGCAAAGCTGAAATACTTGCTGATTATTATCGTTATTTAATTGTTCTTTATAAAAATAAACGCTAAAAAATAATAAATAAAGCAACTACACTGTACTAGCAGAACTTACATAAAAACGTATTAACGCTTGATGTATGTATTGTAACTTGGCACGCTTTTGAAGAATTGCAAAATGCAATCATGCACCATATAAAACTATTATAAATTCCCCAATATACTAATCAAGTTATGTAGTACAAAAGCATTGTGCAGGGTATACAACAAAAAGGAAAAAAGAAAAAAAAAACTGTTCTCAAACAGATACATAATTAAACAAAAATATGTTATTATGCAATCGATTTATTTTTTAGTTTTCAGAAGTTGTTGTGCGTGTTAAAGACAGCTTATAAACGTGTTAACGTGCTCTAGCAATATATACATACTTGTGAAATAGACAATATAGCCAATATATAAGTACATAACATATGCATAACAAAATATTAATACAAATATGAACAGTTTATTCGTAATTACTATACTCATGGAATACAATTTGATGTCGTTAAACGTTAAATGTTATTACACAAATATCACAATACACATGCAAACAAAAAAGGTAAAGAAAAATGCTGGTATGGGGTCAAACAAACTATAATACAAGTAGCATATACATATGTAACTACATCAATATAATACGTTTTGTGCACAGTATTACGTACACACATACTCATATACTCTCTCTCAAGTATTGAAATACCGCTAGAATAATTGAAATTTGTATAGCTTAGCGCGAGCATATTAGTCAAAACTTAGATGTTCATATTTACATACACACTACTTACATACTACACATAGATATATATATATATATATATATATATATATATTTAAACAATGGATTTAATTACTGTCACATTTTCTGTAACAAAACCTAATATCCAACAAACACTAACCTATAGTAAGCTGCACTGCTAGTTGTAGGATCGTAATATAAGTATTATCATAAGCGAATGCTTAGAACCTCACAGATTCAAATGGAATATGGATGTATTTAGACCAGGGAGAACTCTACGGCATACGGGCTCCATTGAGGAAGACCGTGCGAAACCAGATCCGTCTACGGCCAATAATCATGATGGCGTCCGGAAGCCGGGTACGCCGGATCGGACGACCTATGGTCACGCCAAGATGATGGGTTCGGGTTACACGGAATCCAACGAAACCAACCTCGCTCCCCCCGTCATGAAAAGTGTTCACGCCCACTATCGCAAGAGCCGGATGCACAGCTCTTCGAGCGACCGGAAAACAATTGATGGAGTCTACGGAATCGTCAGTCGACAACGGAAGTCTTTTTCCGTATAGTCCCAAACCGAATGACCAAGTGGATCGGAGGGAGGCGGAGAGGTCTGTTGGGCCTGACAGTGCAGCTGCGCTATATAGTTTATTTTTAATTATTATTAATAAATATAATAATTAAATAAATAAATTAACGTGGTTAGAACATGACAGAGTTTTATTTAAGACTGGGAATATCATTTTTTCAGAAAAATTACACTAATTATTTTGCAGCTGAAAAAATACATACTTTAAGAGGCTCACAGAATATGGCATTCGCTTTGCCAAATACTAACAGATTTTCAAAGGAGAATCGAAAATACTTTGTCTATCGAACAGCATTCAATGATTATTGGTTTATCTAAAAACCTTACACTTGTAAAAAATTGATTGTAGGGCGTAAGAAAATGAGTCGAAATCACTAAACCCTTGTTTTCTCGATAACTACGAAGACGATTTGGATGTCCCTGATCAAAATTAAAAGGAATACAATGTATAATATACAAATGTATCCGTTAGATAAAAACCGTGTACTCCTCAAAGTCTTCTTATTGCTGAAAAAATTTCGCGACTGTGCAATTTAGTACTTTAAACTATACGACTTGGCGAGGTAAGAATATTAGGAATTTTACTTAACTAATAAAATACAAAGTCAATTTCTTATGCGTTGTGGTGAATTCCACTATGAACTGCTTCGTTATCTAAAGCAGGTTAATTTACAGTTTGAGTCGAATAGCAACTGCTTAGTTTTTCTTGAAGTTGAACAGTTGATATTGTGTGCTAAACTGCTTGGAAATGTACATTTATTAAATACAGTTTGAAATGCACTGAAACTGCTTAAATGATTTTTAAGCTAAGCGGTTCAATCCAACTGCTTGCATTGTATGTTGAACTGCTTGAACTCAGAATGCACTATAAGTTGAAATTTGAGCCGGAGTGCGAGCCTACGACGATGGCACGTTTGCTCACATGTCTATCCGAGAATCTGGGTTTTTCTTAATAAGCTCCCAGTAAATGGTGTTTATTGTATTTTTTAATTTTAAGTCATTTAACTTCGTTTTCTTTTAAAATTGAATTGATTAAAATTATTGTATAATATTTAAAAAGTGTCTGGCTTATATCTTTCAATAGGTGTGGAGTAATTAAATAAATAACTTATACAAGTATTAGAAAGTATTCACGCCGTTCTTAGGATATTCAAACTGTGTGTAATCAATTTAAGTCAATTATTCAGTTCGCTTGCTATATTCCCTTTAAGTTTTATGTACTTGAGCATGTTTCATACATTTCATGTAACTTAGGCTCGTTTGTAAGTTATACCTTGTGCCATTTGAAATTTTCCACTAAAAACAATTTGTGAATTATTACCATCAGCTTTCGCAAAGATCACACGAATATGAGATTTTATTTTTCCGAAATTGGTTGATTAAAAACTTTACCGTTCTTCAATCGCTTTTTTTTATACGTTTTTCTTTGTTGCTTGCTTCAATTTTCTAGTTATATTAATATTTATGAATTATACTTTAAATATGTATGTATGTATGTATTCGAATACTTGTCAATTTGGGCCGAAGTGGTTGATTAATCATCATAGTTGGGCTCTACTATTTTCTGCGATACGTTCTGCAATCTTCCGCGATATATCCAGGGAAGCAAGCGGTTCGACAAACGTTTCTTATAAACGTAAGGATAATTATTTGGACATAGCTCCATATGACAGATGGCACCGCTGCAGTTCATGCACTTGTTGCAGCTGCACACTTGACCCGGTGCACATCGAGTGGTATCATCGCCAGGGTAGCAGATCTCATTCAATTTCCGAAAGCAGAAGTATTTGGGACAGTCGCGCACCATGATCATGTAAAAGCCGCTGCTGCAGTTGTCTGGTGGTATTGCAGCATCTTGGCTGCATGACTCCCTGTACTCGTAATTGCTGTGAAAAAGTGAGAAAATTAAAATGAATTATTTACTCTCTATATTTCTTGACCAATTACAGCTTACATGGCCCGACATTGATGCCAAACCGCAAGGAGTAAAATACAGCGGAGAAGTAGCCGGAGATTGCCGAAGCCATGTTGCATCTGTTGTTGGTTACGCATTATCAGTGCGTTGCCTGTGCCAGGATAATTGCTTCTGCTAGCCATATCTATATTGGCATGCTTTTATACTCTTGACACTTAATTAGATTTAAATCTATGTGAATATATCATTGATTCATTAATGGAAAGCATTAATTCACTGCATATTCCATTGATAACGCATCCCGCTCGCCACCCTCCTAAATGTGCAATGAAGCATGAGGTTTATGTGCGGTCAGCTTAATGGAGGTCTTTGTAGTTCAATGCCAATGCCATGAGGCACGGATTTTAAATATTCACTGGTTTTTGGAGTGGCAGCCCTAATAATTGAGGCACTCCAACAGGGTCAAGTGCAAGCAGATTCATGAATATTAATTCCTGTTCACTTTTACTAAAGGCGTTTATTGAATGCTAATGTTGCAAATGTGACTCAAATGTTTGCAATGTAACAATCTGGCAACCCTCGTTTAGCTTATCCTAAGTTTTGCATTGTCCGTTCGTTCGCATGTACTCAAATATTAATTTCTCAATAGTTCTGTACCCCCTCCGTTTTTGACTGCCAAATGCGTCGCGTCATTAGACTAATAAAAATGTGATTCCCCAATATCGTTATCTTTTTGTATACGCTGTAAATCCAATAGCTAAGAACTGAACTGTATATGTATTTTATTTTAGATTTTTGCAGAATAGATATACATTTGATATGTAAATTTAAATTCTTTCATTACATTTCTGTTGGTTAACTTTTTAAAAGAGAACCCTTCTTAATTTTAGATAAATAAATTTTAGTAATATTTAAGGAATAATGCAACATTTTTATTTTAGCTTTTGGGCATTTGTAATATAAAATAAGCTGACAGTTTTCAATGTCACGATTCTTGTATTTATAAAATATTCCGACTGTCCTCCGACTGATTTTAAATCAAAATGAAATATAATTGCATTTATTTATATAGTAAATGAAGAATGTATTTTTAAATGGATTCGTTCCAAGTTAATTAATTTATACATATAGAAGAAATGTTGCTTACAAAATGTAATATTTAAAGTTGAAATAAATTTTAAATCCGTTTCTGTCCTTCAATTAGTCAAGTTCCATGCGGCACTTGTTTTGAAATTTCTCAATGTGTGTATTCTTGATGAGCCATCCTTTATTGTGGTTAAGTTGTATGAAATCTTGAATAACTGCGGTATCCCTTCTAAAATATCGATCGTGGGTATACCTAAATCATTAAGAATTATAAATTTGATTATTATTTTCAAACAAATGCGCATTTAACTGGCTAACCTAGTCGGCATATGGCGGTTTAAGCTTGCACGCTCTATTTCCCTTCCTAAATAAGGGCAAACTGCATGCTTGGCAAAGTTGAATAATGAATAAAAATTAAAGAATCGTTTTAGCATCCCTTGTACTTCATTTTTTCCAATTATTTCCGTAAAATCTGACAACTTTTCAGTAGAAAATTTGGTGACGCAAACTGTAAATAAGAAAATTAATAACCAATTTGATTTGTCTTTCTCAAGATGCACATACCACCAATTGAGGCAGATTGATTTGCCTGGAGCTTATCAATTCCAGGTAGATAATGCTCATGTTGCAAAAAGAAGATGACCATTAGAATGAGTATGTGGTTGCGAAATTCTGAATGAAGTTGGATATCTTTTATCCAGCCGCGCAAAAAGATCACCATATAGCGAGCTAAAATGACGCATGCATTTACATGATTTGATGTATATATGGAAGAACTTACCTATGGGTTGCATATCAAATAAATGCTTGACTAACATATTCTGGCTATAGGTTAGGCCACAAGAGAAACTTATGTCGCATTGCCTTCCCTCGGGTTTGTAAACGACCGTAACAATGGGACATCCCCCTCCAACATTAGCAATATGCGTCCAGTTTACATCCGACTTGATAGCATTTGCGATAAGTCGCTGACGTTGCAGGACCTCGCGAGTTTCACCCATTTCGTATTTATTGAAGCTGTCGTCTGAGTAAATATTGTAATTAAAAATGTTCTTACCCATTTTTGGACACTTACCAAACTCAACGTAAATGTCCAAATCAGAGTTTTCTTCTCCAATTCCCATCATACGCGATCCAAATAGGTGAGTGCGAGTGTAATTTACCGCTGGGAGCTTGCTATTCAGCAAGCGCCGCAGCTCATAATCAAGGTCTTTATTATTATATTCCTGAATAGTGGCAATACGTTCTTTTTGCAGTAGGTCTGACCAGAATGTAACTGAATCTACGTAGATATAGAACAATAAACTAATTAACAGCAAAAGTTGATGGAATTCAGTTACGACTTAAAACTTACTTAGCGACATTTTTTTTTTTTAGATGAGTATTGAAGCTAAAAAAAAGTTGAACTCCTTCAGACAATTTCACAAACGAACTGTTCGGAAGTGCGAGCAGTTTTAAAGTGACAGAAAAAGTAATATCTATTGAACAAGAATCGGTGTAGATATCGATTATTTCCATATCGAATATATTTAATCAAATAAATCAAACGATATCAAATCCAACGAATACTTGATTGGTGTTGAATAGTAATTTTTAAGCTTGTAAAATTTTGAATTTCAATAGGTAAAATTGACTTTTTGAAGATCAGTAATAATATATAATTTAGCGATATAATACATAAACTAAAGTATAGCTTACGCATTCAAATTGCATGGGCAAACATGTAACAGTAATTCTAATATACTACTTTATACACTGTCTTTATTATTGTAAATAGAGACCGAGACTAATCTTTTAAAATTTGCTGACAAGCACTCTTATCGCCCAAAACAACGCTTAAGTGCGTCTGCTACTATCAAGCAATATAAATGAATATGTGAACTTGAAATATTAGAGGGTCGTTGATAGGAGAATACTCAGCTTAGCTGTTAGTATTCGAATTGTCAGCGGGCATTAAGCATCCGAGAAGCTGCGAATAGAAAAAAGTTCAAATGGCTGGCGACAAAGTTATTTTGGCCTACTCCGGTGGCCTCGACACAAGCTGCATACTCAAGTGGTTGCTGGAGCAGCGCTACGAGGTCATCTGCGTGCTGGCCGATGTCGGTCAGCAGGAGAACTTTGAGGCAGCAAGACAAAAAGCGCTCAAAATTGGAGCCAAGGAGGTAGGCAAGAGCACATCAATATATTACACACATATGTGTATAATCAAACTATCATCATTATTGTAGGTAATTGTGGCTGATATCAAACAGAACTTTGTGGAGCAATACATTTGGCCAGCAATCCAGATGGGCCTTATCTATGAGGAGCGTTATCTGTTGGGTACCTCGCTGGCACGCCCCTGCATTAGTGTGGCCCTGATTGAGGCTGCTAGGCGCTATGATGCCAAATACTTGGCTCATGGTGCCACCGGCAAGGGTAACGATCAGGTGCGCTTCGAGCTGTGCGCCTATGCACTGCAGCCGGATTTGAAGGTGAGCACTGTGTACACCAAGGGAAAATATTGATCGAAAATTTGAAAAATCGCCCTAACCTCAAAAAATATGGCATTTGTTTTTATAAATGCATTTTTAAATACATATTTCCAAAATGCTGAAAAATTGCATGAATTTGCTCTCTTCACATTTAAATTTACACAATTTTTATCTTGTCATAGATCATTGCGCCATGGCGTGATGTGGAGTTCTGTCGCCGTTTTCAGGGTCGTCAGGATCTAATTGCCTATGCGCATGTCCATGGCATTGAGGTGACAGCCAAGCCAGCAACGCCCTGGAGCACTGATGCCAACATGCTGCACATTAGTTACGAGTCGGGTATTCTGGAGGATCCCAATACGGTGGCACCCAGCAGTCTCTACGAACTGACGCTCGATCCGCTCACCCAAGCGCCGCAGACGGCAAGGCGTGTATGTATCCATTTTGTGCATGGCCTGCCCACAGTAGTCGAGGATTTGGGCAACAGCCGCAACTACACCATAGCATCGGATATGCTCAAGTTTCTCAATGATCTGGGCGGTTCATATGGCATCGGACGCATTGACATTGTAGAGAATCGTTATGTAGGCCTGAAATCTCGTGGCGTATATGAGACACCCGGCGGCACCATTCTCTACACAGCCCATCAGGATCTGGAGGTGTTTGCATTAGATCGGGAAGTTCTACGCACCAAGCAGCTGCTGCGCGATCGCATGTCCGACTATGTGTACAATGGCTTCTGGTTCAGTCCAGAGGCACTCTATGTGCGCCGCTGCATTGAGCTGTCGCAACAACATGTCACCGGACAGGTAACCGTAGAACTGGCGCCGGGCTACTGTCGTGCCATTGCCCGCAAGGCAGGCGTCAATGCTGGTGCGCTCTACAATCAGCAGCTGGTCTCGATGGATGAGCATGGCGGGTATGTGCCACAGGATGCCGGTGGCTTCATAGCCATTAATGCGGTGCGCATTCGCGAGCATGTGCGCGCCTTTGGTGCCTACAATACTGAACAGCAGCAGCGAAAGTAGGTGACTTTCAAACCAAACAATACATTGCATGTAAAGTCAATTCAATGAATCAACTAAATAAATACAATTTAAATATAACGTGTTTTATTTTTTAAATTTAACGAGAAATTCAAGTGATTCGTTTCATGCTGATGGGTAAATCTAAAAGCTCACGATATCAAATATTACAATAACTTTTTGAACGATGCAAATGCTATAGCAAACTTAAGTCTAGCAAATATTATGCTAATGAAATTATATTAATGAACAAAGTACAAAAATGTGTAAGCTTTGATTTCATTTCGTCATTTACACTACGCGATATACACAGCCAAATCAAATCGAAAGAATTTCGTTTATTTCATATCGGAGCTCAGAAGAGGAAGACGCAAACGACGATAATGTGGATAAAGACGCTGATGTGGAACACAATATAAAGTTGTTAAGTTACTAATTACATTATATTATCAATATATTCGTAAAATTATTAACTCTTATAATAAAATCCCAACTTGAATATAAACTTTAAATGGAATGCCAGAGAGTTATTGATATCACGATTTGTCGATATACTTTATATTAGAGAAAATGAATAATAGCGGAAAAAAATGTTAATGTGATTGTTTCGGTTTACGATTTTGAATCTTAAAGAAGTAAGTGAGCTCGCCTACGATATATCGTAAACTTTTTACATATTTTCAATGGGTTCATAGTATAAAAACGTAACTAAAAAATAATCGATATACAAATAAATAGCCAAGTAAAATCCAAACAATAGCTAAAAAGAATATTTTTCGGCGCGATAAGCTTAATTGAGTTACGCAACTAAATTCTAGAAAAAATATGCTTTACGATTTGAGAACTTAAATAAAATATGCAAACTGAACTGATTATTTCATTTGCTTCATATAGTTTGCCTGACTCACAATCCAATCTCATACAGAAAAATCTCATAAGAGTGTCAATCTGCTTAGTTATTTAATTAAATTGTGTGACCAATCCGAGCTCAACTCATTCCTTCAGCGTCACCATGGCCACCGATGGCAGCGAGCTGCCAGGCATTTTCATATGCTGCACGGCAACCTCAAATGTGGGCTCGCAAACGGTGTCTACCTATCTGAGCATGCGTCGCTCCGCCAATGAGGTGGTCGAGATCGATGACGGCGATGCTGCCGCCAATGCCGAAGTGGCCGCCATCAATGATAGCAGCAATCAGACGGGACGCCGCCAGGCTGGTGCTAGTCTGCCGATTAGCGCTCACATTGAGCTCCAGAGCAGCGAATGCAGCAATAGCAGCGACGAGGACGAGTGCGTCTTTGTACTGGCGCGTAAGCCGCCACTTTTGCGCACACCCGAACTGGTCAGCCTGGACTCCAACAGTGACTCGGATGTCGTCTTTGTCGATGAGCAGAAGCCAAACAGCACTTCGCCGAAAGCGGCTGTCGCTGATGCGACCAACATCGAGCAAGCGGCAACAGAGGATGCAGCATCAGTCGGTTTACTGGCTAGTTATATGGTTATGGGACCCAGTACCAGCACCGGTGTCTGCTCTTCCTCGGGCAAGCACTGGAAGACGGTGCTAGAGGAAGCGCGCCGCCAGGATGCAATCCGGTTGCGCACACGTCATCCCAAACGCAACGTGACACGCGTCCAACATCGCTGCCTGCCGGCGGAGACGAGCAGCAGTAGCAGCAGCAGCGCCACCAACTGGACAACTAGCAGCGACGACAGCAGCAACAGCGATGACTTCAACGACCATGGCCGTGGCGACCATGCGCAGAAAGCGACGTGCGGCACGCAAACCCAAGACGCGCAAGCGACCCGCCAACGTCAAGGCGGCCGTGCAGCTCAAAAGCAAGCGGCGAAAAAATCAGACATCGGAGCCTGAGGAGAGTAGCAGTGGCAGCAATGGCAGTAAGAGCAGCGGGGGCGACAGCAGCGATGCTAAGCAGACAACTGGCTCCAAAAACAACAAGACCAGTGACAACAACAACAAGATTGAGCAGAGCAGCAATAATAGCAGCAGCAGCGATAATAACAGCACATAAAATGTAATGCTGAGCAAATTGCGTGTCAAGCTCAAATCGGACCCCAGCAGCAACGAGGAGCAGTAGTGGATTCAGCACCATGGCTAGCCACTGCACAACCATGTCCAGTTGCTCGCCACTGAGCGAAGCATTGACGAATACCGATGCCAATGTGCCTCCGTCGTCCATGGTGCATGAAATAGCAATATATATCGGTCGAACTACCCCCTGAGCCGATAGCTGTTGATTCAATATATTTTCGGTACAGCAATACTTGAATACAATCTAATACATATTAACATAATCTTACATATAAAGATATGAATGTTTGTATATATGTATGTATGTGTGCATGTATCGCAAACATAGTAGAAGCAATGGCAAATATCCAATGTTAGATTTCCCAATTGCATTAATCTTGTTTCCGTAGCTGCCAAGCGCAAAAATCTCGACAGGATGCTAGCGACCGGGTCGGACCCTCGGACTTAGAAGCTCATTGCAAACGCAAAACAAAAAATGTTTTTTGCTGTGGGCGGTATTCGGGGAGTTCCGCTTATTTGCACCAGCAAATAAATGCACAAAACTAATATTGTTACAACAAATAAAGCCGAAAGAAACTCAAGAGTCACAAGAAGCTGTGCATATGCTGTATGCGTATGTGTATATAAAATAATGTGATAAATACGTGCGTTTACTCAACAACAATGGGCGGTAAGATAGATTGTGAGCCAGATATATTAAATGAATAAGCCTTATGGTAAACAATTTAGTCTTTGTGCCTAGGCCACAACGAAGATTCCATACCCTTAGAGACCAGGCTATTCAATATTGACTCAATATTTGCTATACAAGTTTAAGCAAAGAATCTCAGAATCTCTCATTACTTTTTCATAATTTATATTATTGAACACAATTCAAAACATGTGAATAGATTTATGATTTACTATTGGGATTATGCAATTTACTATATATTTAATATGGGAACAATCTTTTCGAATATTTTCCTCTGCCCCCTGAACCTGTGCAAAGTTCATTGTTGAACTAATTGTAGGCGCTCATTTAGAGCTAGTGTTCAATATGCTATTACCATGTATATGGTGTGAATGTGTCTGTTTACACAGATTCAGTTGCTGTATCAGTATCAGTGAAAAGCCTCAACCTCAGTGACCATCTCAGCTCCCAAAACAAACTGTTTGCTTACTGTACCGGCCATTCATCCATCCATGCATCAATCTATCCATCACACTGATGACAGCAGCATCTACTGTTTGTTGTTGCTCTTGTTTGCTCTGGTGTTGTTAGTTTCGGGTGGGGCGCGATCAGACTTCGTTGACATTTTAACTTTGTGCTGAATGGCAAAAACATTGAGTAAAAAAAATTGCCTTATGATACAAAAAGTCGTTTGAAAAAGTTAAGCACTCGGTTTTGCGGGATTATTGGCGAGCTTCAAAGGATGTGGCCAACTTTTGCCGCGGTGAGCCTGCGTGAAAGTTCAGCTTTCGCAGCTCTCTAGTTGGTTTTTTATTATCATATGTTTTTTGAGCATTTTATATGCTGTTAACTTTCATTGAAATTGACAAATTTAATCATGGCCTAACCCCATCAAAGTCGAGCATAATTACAGAGCATTATTTGTGCGAATATAACTAACCCGTCTAAGGGGCTTTTATGAGTGACATAAAAAATTCGTTTTATGTTCTGCTGAAGCAATAATTCATAAGAGAATATCTTATCCGATGGGTCAGATTCTTAAGGAAATTTTCAAAATATGTTCAGTGCTTAAGGAGCATTTTTTTAAATATCGAATTAAGGTCCAGTTTCAGAAAAGTTAATTCTCATTAATCTCAAAATTAGCTCCTGTCTGCTGATGTATAAGCTGTAACTGTGTATAACACTTTGAATAATGCGGAGTGTTAAATTTTCATTCATGGCGCAAGTCCTAACTAACTATGAAGAGAAGATTTTACATTGTATAGCGAAAATGTGACTAAATGGTTTAATTTAATTAAGTTATTTGAAGTTAATTCATATAGTTGCTATCGAGGCATAGGCAGGAATCTTGGCAACACGAAATATTAAATGGACAAGCAAAAATGTATATTAAGAAAACCAATCTTATCAGTATAAATGGGGCTTCTGCTAGCTATAAAATATGCGTTATTTGCTGCAATGCCATTGCATACGTATGGCAGACTAGCAACAATTTAATGCTGTGCTGCAACGCCCAATACTTCAGTAAACATTAATTAATTTATGAGCATGTGACGTTGCACGCCCCGCTGCTTCGCCACTTTTGTGGCATTTGAGTCTCGTCGGACTTTGCGTAGCGCTGCACCCTCCCAGTTGTTGGTCACCATCTCGTCCGTCTAGCAGCTACTTCCGCCGCGCTTGCAAATTGCTTGAGGGTAAATTTTAATTATTCCTCATTGTTTTGATAGCAACGCGTGCTACTCGGTCCTCCCACCATTGCCACTGCCTCTCCCTCTGCCTCACTCTCGTTCGCTGCCACTCTCGTGAGTCGGGTATTTGGCACAGCTGCATAGTGTGACTCTTCAGCTCTGCTAACGCCTTCAGCAGCGACAGCAACAACAGCAACAACAGCAACAACAACAGCAACAACAACGACAACAACGAATGTCGCACTGCGACCCCAGCACTCGTTCATTTGGATTTGACTAGCTTTCTACTACCCGCTTCATTGTCCCCCTCACTCACTCTTTGTCTCCCTGTCTCTCTCTTTACGCGCTGACAACGGGCTCTGAGATGGCGGCGAAGTGGCGTGGGTGCCATTGCTGACCTAGTCGCAAAAACAATTATTCTTTTGTGCCACTCCAAGCTCATTCTTGCCACAGCTTAGCTGGGGTTGTTCCTTTACGGTCCTTTTTAAAAGCAACTGACTCCCAGCTCTTTTTTGGCTCGTTAAGATTAGAGTCGACATGTCCTTGCCTATAACCAACTTTTTTTTTTGATTTATTTTGCATTTATAACATTTTTGGTTTCATCTTTTAAAAGTCTGGTTTCATATTACAAATATTTGTAAGTAGAAAATGAAGTAAAGTGAAATAAAAAATC